CCTGTATTGATACTGGGGGTTACCCCGACCCAGGTGCAGGACCTTGCACTTGGCCTTGTTGAACCTCATGAGGTTCACACAGGCCCACCTCTCCTTCAATTTGTCATTGAAGGATAAAGATGTGTTGCTACACTGGGCAGACATTCAGATTACTACATGAAAGCATAGTGAAGGTGTAACTGTGGGTGATGCTCACCCTTTCTTGCACCATCAAGTATCTTTAAAGTTAGCATAAAGCGGGCTTTTTACAAGAGAGGAGGAAGGAGCTTGCCTTTTTAGGGTTTTTTTGGTAGCAAAATAGCAAGAACAGAAGGTGAATATGGGTGACAGGAGGGAGATGAGAAACGTTCACCATCTTGGCTTTAACTTGAGGAGTTTCGACTGAGAAAAATGGGAGGCTGTTGAAAAGCATCCCAAATGTTGAGTTTCACCTTTCCTTTCAGGCACACACCCTGTTTGCCCAATGCCCAGTTTGCTCACCTGTACAATGCTTTGGTTTAGCGACTATACGATGAAAAGAGATTATTTTGCTTGCCGAATTTCATAATGTGCAGCACTTTCCCTCCTGCTTGCATGTGTGGGCTAGCTCTGCCACCCTCATGCATCTCAGCAAGGCCTACTGCACCTTAAACATAAAATGCCAAGAAGGGTATTAAATTGCTACCAGAAGCAAAGGTGCTGGCACCTCCACTCAGGCACCACCAATAGGCCTAGTGCTACGGGGAGCTCTGGCATAGCCACCCATCCCTGCTGGACCACTGATCATCTGCAAGGGCAAATCCTGGCACTGCTCTCCTGAAGACCCCCCCAATGCATATGGCCACTGGGACCCAGCAGCTGGCCTGAACGCAATGAAAAGCATTGCCCTTTGCTGGCATCATCTGCCTTTGGCAGATGCAAACCGGCAAGTGGAGTTTAAAAAGAAGAAAGCAGTAGACCTCAGGTGTCGTCAACTGCTCCCAAGGAAAGGGGGTAGGGACCCACCAAAACCCCATGCAGAAAAGCTCCTGCAGAAGAGAGGGCTCCTCTCCACGGGGCGGTGCAGCTGCTTCTTTCCTAACATGAAGCCACATCCTGAGCTGTACCTTTAGGCTGACTTAACCTGCCCCCATCCCAGGCAGTAGGAGCACCAGTGGGAGGCGAGCGGCACACAGCCACCCCTGGCAGCACAAGGCTTAAGGCCTCCACTTTTGCAGCCAAAGTCACAGGGGCTTGGCTCTTCTGCCAGTCAGATGGACTCCTTCCTACTGCTTGCTAATTTCTCTTGTTTTCTTGCTTTTTTGTTGTTGTTGTTCTTTTTTCTTTGAAACCTCCCCATTTTCCAGCATCTTTCTAGGAACTCCTGGAGATGGAGGAGGCAGAAACAGTATCTACAGCATCTTATCTAGCAAAGATAACCTCATGCCCACTACCTGTTCACCTTTACTATTCTCCTATTTGATACCCCCAGTACATGATGGCATGGAAAATACACGTTTCTTGCTGAAGAACACATCAAAGAGCCAAGTACAAACAAAAATATTGACTGAACACCTCTGCCTTCTGAGTCAGAGTTAGCAATTTTTCATCCTTTAGCTCTTTTCCACTCACAGCTTCCCCATCACCGGGTGACTCTGCATTTAAGGAGTCTTTCTCACTGTTCATATCCTGCTCGCCATGCTGTTCATGCGTTTGGCAGCCTTAATCAAAGAGCAGGCTTCCCTAACTCCAGCTCCACACTTGTTGCGGCTAACAATCCCAGCTTTTCATTTGGCTTGTACTGGATTTGGTTCGTAAATGCCATTTCCTTGCCCTTTTGCAACCAAATTGGACTTCCAGGTGAGGAACCCCCCCTTACACCGATGCAGCACCAGAGGCCATGCTGGAGTCTAAAAAGCCCTTCCTGACCTCTCTCCAGCCAGCACCACACTTAGTCTTACATTTTCTCTCATTCAAATTTGTCTTGTGATTACATATACGCACCCGTACATACACATACTTATGTGCACACACACACACATGCATATGCATATGCATGGGCAAATGAGGACATAGGAGGATCCCCAGCTGAAGGGGCCCAGCCCTCCTGAGCTATTAGTCTGTAATTTGGCAGAAAGCAACACCCCAGACCTGGAGACCTTGCAGCTCTGTGTCCCAGGCCTGACGAGGGTTATCAGGAGTACATCTTGCTGTGGTGCAAATGAGAGCGTGCGACCCAGAAAGGCTGGTGCCAAAACCCCAGAGGCTTCGGGACATCCCTCTTACGATTACAGGAACTCTAGGAAAAAAGTCCACCCAAGAAACCGGGAGCTTTGCCTGCCAAACCCCGGGTACAGCCAGCTCCCAGCAGATGGGGCAGGTTGCCCCCAAACTGAGAGCCATGTTGGGGTGCACTTTGTGCCCAAAATCAGAGCAGCTGGATGCGTGTGTCAGCACCGCAAGTGTTTTACCATAAAGCCCTCAGAAAAGGGCTTCCTCATATACCTGAGCTGACTTCTCAGGCTGTCAGTCACAGGAGATTTCAGTGGTGTTAAAGCAACCAAAACCAAAATGAGGGGAAGAGACATCAACCTCATTTCCCTGCAGGTCTGTGCTTTCCCGTGGTTGATGCAAGCCCCTCTGGTATCTCATCACGTCGTATTTTACCAACACTGACCTACACGTCAAGTGGGGCCCAATGTAAAAAAGGTCTGAATAATTTATTACTGACCCGGCAGGGGAAGAAGCAAGTAATTAACAGATTACTATCAAGGACCTTTTAAAGTAAAGGAAGAAGAAATGTCTCACTGCAAATGTGAAATTCTTTCTGCTGGTAAATGACGGCCAGCTGTGAGCACTGAAGAAAACCTTGTTCAGTCCAATGTCCCAGCTCCAGGGTTTTCCTGCAGTGTTGATGCAGTGGTATTTGTGGCACACACCAGCATGGGCTGGACAACCCCTCTGCACAGACAGACATGCATGGAGGCACGCCTACGCACAGGGCACGCACCGCCAGCACAAGGAGGCTCCGTGCCCAAAAACCCCATGCCATATCCCACTGTCAAACTGGGACTCACCTGCAGCAGGAGCCTTCCTGAGCATGAGCATCTGGACTTGGAGCATTAATTGGGACATTTGGGTCCTCATTAAAACACATATCCCCAGGAAACTTGCTAGACAAGGGAAAAAAAAAAGTTGACCTGGACTTGTTTTGCTGAGTCAGGATGATGTAAACATGCTTGAAAGGAATAAACACTCCCACTTTTGAGTCACCTGATAAAATCACATACGTCAGCTATCTTAACTCTGCTGATACCGAACGACTTAAACAGAAAATAGCCAGTAGTTCCGTGGGTTGCCAGGCTGGAGAAGGCCGTTGGGAATACACCGACTGCCTGGCAGATGGGCGTGTGCTGCACCCTGTTCCTGGGGATTTACACAAGCCCTCCTGATCTTGCTCGGCGACAAAGGAGGAGTACCATTGCACTGACAGTAAAGCTGAGCTGGTATAAATGTGGGGTACGATCAGAGTCAATCGCCTATGATTATGCAAAGCCCAGCTAGCACAAAAGATTTTGCAGCGGAGCACGTTTTTTAGATCTGGGGCATTACCCTAGGATTATGCTACTGCTTGGTAAAAGCAAATGTATGCTACTGCTTGGTAAAAGCAAACGAAGCCTGCAAATACAGCAAGTTCCCAAAGAGGCGCTGGGTTAGTGGTAAGCGGGTAAAGGCTGTGGAGCCATCCTGCACGCCCTCGCCCAGCACCCAGGAGGCTCCTTCTCCCCTCGAGGGCCGGCCGCCGTCACAGCGGGCAATGCCGTCACATCAATACCACTCATGAATGTGCTGAACATCTGCGAATGAGCAGCATAGATTTTCCAAAGCTTTCTTAAACTTTTATGAGCACCCCCCCATCATATACTGTCATACGATCTTTCCTCATAATGCATTTCACTTGTGATTTCCGTGCTTTGCTGTTGGCCTCCGTGCAGCAACAAGGCATGGGGTGAACCCATACACTTGTCCCTACAGCAACACGCATGTTGCTGCTGGGGCTGGAGTCTTTTTATTCAGGGTATAGGACAGTTTTGATGTGGTGTTGCATTGCAGGTGATAATGTTTCACCAAGGGTTGCAGGAAGTAAAGCAGTGGCTGTGCTGACTGCCAGGACGGTATCTGCACCGGCAGGGCTTGCGGATTTGTGTGCTCACAAATGGATGTGGGAGGACATCTGCGTCCCTAACTACGTACTATTCAGTTCTCCACAGACAAGTACTTTGTTTATCTAGTGTGTGTTTGCCAGCCATCTTTAGCCAAGCAGCTACACTGGCTTTTAGCATCCTTTTTCCCCTCGGGGGGGTTGATCATTTCCCAGTGAACATGAAGGTTGCTGACTCCAAATTCAGCAGAAAGGGCTCAGAATGGCCTACTGGCTTGTGCCCCAGGAGCTGAGCTGCAGCAGGGAGGCACCCAGCAGAGGCGCTCCGTGGGCACCAGCTTGCAGGAGCAGAGACCCCCGACCCCTCAGTCTTGGGGCATTAGGCAGACACTGCTCTTGATGCTTAGGATGAAAGCCAAGCAGAGTCCCAGCTCTGCGAGGTTAATAACCAGCTGTAATAAAGACAAGTAATGCTATAAAACAGTACACCAACCATAAGTCAGGCTAAGAATGTCACTAATGGATATTTTTCCAGCCCTGATTCAAAGCACAATGATGGGCTTTCAGCAGAGCAATTAAAGCAATGCTCAGAGTGGAAATATCTCACGTGAACCAAGTCCCTCTGGGTAGTTTGTCTACAAATTGTGCCCATGCTTAAGATTCAAAGGACGTAAAAAGGGTTTAAAAATTTGGGGAAAGGTGATGAGTGGAAAGAATGCACATTTTCAAAAAATACCCTCTGTCTCTTCTTAAGACAGACAACTCAAGGCATGGTGCTCAAGGTATGCTGGAGAGGTGAAGTTACCTAAAATTGGTCGTCCAGAGGGAACGGGTAAAACTGCTTCATCCTTGACCCTCTGTCCCTGTACGTTGCTGCACTGTGTTACACCTCGGTGAAGAAGGAGGCTCTCCTCCAAGCACCCCACAGCTGGGGGGAGGTTTGGGGTCTGCTCACCTCGCAGCAGGTGGAGGGCACCAAGTGGACAACCCAGACCCCTGGGAGCACCGTGGGGTGCTGGGGTGCTGTGCTGCACTGTATTCATCTGCTGCTGTGGGATCAGGCAGAGACCTGCTAATGCACAGCAAGCAACAGACAAAAGGTGGGATCAGATGGAGGAAGTGCCGTTTTCCTGGGAAATCTCTGATTTCTTGGGAGCTATGGGGACTTCCCTCCTGCAGCTGCTCTTTTGCTGCCAGGCAGGTCAGACAAGAGCTGGGGGCTGCTGTGCTGTATTTAAAGCAGCAGCAGAAGGTGATGGGGCAAGTGCTTTTTTTTTCCTTGCTATCCATCAACCTGCATTGAGCTGGGAGGGCCATGAGTGGTTCTGCCTCTCCAGGAAAAGGTCAGGAGAGGGGAGTCCATCCTTCCTAACCAGCTTTGTCCCCAGAGAGGAGCCCTGGCTGCCCACACTGCTCTGGGGGGTGGAGGGGGGTGCCACTGTGCCGCAATGCCCATCTCAGCAGCAGCAGGAGCCCTGATGTGGTGACCCTGCTCCAGGCAGAGGAAGCCGGGGATATGGCTCGTTGCACCGGCTGTGCAAGCCACCCCTGGCCTGGGTCAGCCCTCAGCGCTGCATGCGTCTCGTTCACAGGCAGGTGCTCCCAAACCCCAAACCCTGAGCGCTCAGGCTGGGCAAGGCCATTTCTGGGGCTATGGGGTCAGCAAAAATGAAATGCAGGGTGAAATGCAGCATCTGGATTCAGGAGCAAACTCCCCAAACCTTGGGGGGATTTGCTGCAAGAAAATTGGCTTGGGCTTTCCTCTCTTCTTCACCAGTAATCATCCTCCCCCACCCCCTGCACCAGCTAAAAGCAGGACAAGCATTTGTATGGACCCAGGTGTATTGCTCACAGGGAAAACCCTTGCTGGCAGTGCCACACAGACCTGCAAGGATCCTCCGTCTTTAGCAAGCACAGCGCAAGCGGTAACTAAAGAAGCTTCCTGATTCTGTCTCACTGGTTGGCTTTAGCAATAACCTGCCACAATCATATCTCTCCTGAGGAGCAAATAAAGTTCAGCTCTCAGCCTAGAGCTAATCAAGAAAATTCGCTTTGGAGGAGTGGCTGGTTTGTAAGTGCTGTGGTTTAATTGCAGCAGAGCAGCCTGTCCAAATGCACCACATTCAAGGAGATCCTGCAGCTCTTCTCTGCCTACAAGTCTATGGACTGAAGACGGCATGCTCAGATAAAATAGCACAGCTTCTGTGCTGCAGACAGTGCTGACAAGTGCTGGGCTTATTACTTGTCATTGTGGCAAATCCATTTATTCGACTTACTCCAAAAGGAATGAGCGACACAATGTTCTGTAATTTTGAAGTCAATTTGGTGGTGGTTAAGCGATGGAAAACAGAGACTGAGTCGTCTTTACTTATAAAATCCAACAACATGAGATCTCAAGCATAAAATACAAACTACTAAGTCCCCCTCCCCAGATTGCAAGAATTTAAAACATTGCCAACTCATCCAAGTAAAGCAGTCCCATTAACTGCAAGGGCTACCTTTTCAAGGGTCAGACCAATAAGCAAATTAATTTCTGCATGTAACTTTTAGCAACTTGGGCATAAAGGAGGTGTAAGGGGGTGAAGAAAGAGGCATTTCCATGGGCTACTTCCTCTTCTAAAACCACTGTCCCCCAGCAACTGAGTCTTGCAGTAAAATGAAGCAGGAATCAAACTGCTCCTCATTTTGATTCTCGCAAGACCAAAATTTCAGATAAATTGGGATGCAAGTCCAGCACTAAACACCCCAAAATATCCACTGATTCATGTTTGTTGGAAATATATACTGGGCTTCTAACACCAATCTTGTTTCACATCCCTGGAAGTTTCATCAAAGTTAGGTCCTACTCGGTAGAGATCATTCCTGGTACAGATAAGCACAGTTTCAAAGGGTGATCTTGTAATATTTTTGCCAATCTTTGTCTCCTTTTGTTTAGCAGTAACAGATTACACTGTGACCAAACAGGTAATACTAACATGCCAAATATAAAACACACCTTTTCCTTTGGCTTTCTGGTAAGGATCCTTAGTTTCTGGCAAACAACCCTGTTCTACTCAAGCCACCAGATCCACACCAGATAATAAAGAGGGCTGAGCAAATCCAAATCAAACACAGACCATTATGTTTTCTTATTGAAAACAGGAGAGGGTTTCTGGCCAGCTGCCAGGAAATTAATGTGGGATTAGCTGGACATTTCTTGCTTCAAAGCCCTGACCTTTTATCACTGTTTGAATTTCCACCTTGGTATAGACCTGGGAGAGGTGGTTGCTTCTCATAATGGGCAAATTTCTTAGTTAAGCCAAACAAGTAAAACAGGAAAGAAATCAAGAAAAAGCAAGTCTCTTACTGGAGAGCAGATTCTGTAAGACTGGATGTGGATGCATCTCGTACTGGGAGAAGGTGGTTTGTTTTCTCCAAAATATGCTTCACAGCAACCTTTCATGGCCTCTGTATTTAGTGGGCACTTATTTCTACCTGTGTCAGTGAGTAACTGGAGCCTCAATTTCTCCAGGCCTGGACATGGCTCTCTTGACAGAAAACTGCATGCAGCTCAGACACCTCTTTTGCTAATACTGCAGTCCTGAGGGCCCAAGAAAGACAGACCCTGGGGGAAATGGGAAGCCACTTTTTGGGCAGATGTGAGCTAGAAACTCAAAGTTTATATGCAGGATCATGCACAATCTTGGGGTGTTCTGCTCCAAGGCTGGTTAGTGTTTATTTCCAGGAGCAAATTGACACAGGCATCAGATTAGGAATTTTCTTATCCACCTTTCGGTGAGACCACATCCCAACAAATGCCATTTTGCTACTGAAAGCCTGAGCTATAATGTTGAGGCATTACTAGCGTTTTGGGTTTAATCTATGTTAAAAAAAAAAAAAAAGAATGAGGACGGAGTTGTTTTTACAGGGCCCTGAATGGCTTTATATTGTGTGAGGGCTGCAGAAATGAGAGCCCTGAGCAGGTGTTAGAGACTGCCCAGCACCTCTCAGCCCAAGGTAACCAGCTGTTTTCCAACCTATATGGCAGCTAAAAGTGACGTGAGCCAG